AACATCACCAATTCGCTGTAGAGAAAGAATGATGCTACGAACATCTCCTTGGTTGTCAGTCAAGCCACTCGCGAATGCAAGACTGCCTCATCTGCTTGCGTCTGATGATTCTGCCGTGGTGATACAGCCCTGTACTCTCAGACTTGGAACCTCCACAACGTATCTACCAGACAGATCACTTTCCAGGTGTTTCGACTACCAGAAACAAGTTCCTGTGCTATTCCATGGCTCGTTATTCAACACACTGGGAACCATCCTACTGTATCTGGTGAGATCCTTCCCCACTGAATGTAACAAACATTTTCTACTCCTATGTTCCATGTTGCAAATTCTTGTACCTGAAGTGACGATAGGTAATGGTACCTTATTTAAGAGTTGTATATTTGAGACGCTAATTATAGCCGTCTTAATAACATTATTTTTTGTTGGGCAAGGCCGTGGTCTAGGCAACCCGGAGTTTTCCTCCGGGGGCTTCCCCGGTTTCTCTGTGGCATCCCAACAATTACTCCATTCACACCCAGAAGAAGGCAATGGCAAACCACTTCTGGATCATCTGCCAAGAACGTATATGAACAGGTCCCAGTCCGAGAAAAGGATGGAAGGATCCTGTTCATATGGACCTGTCGTCAGACAGATCACTAAATAAAAAAATATATAAATATCAACTATTATGATGTCGAATTAGACAGGAAGATGATAATGTAATGTGAATAGGGCTAAGTAAGGTTTTGGAACTTTCAGAGTGGAAATTATATTAGCAAGAATTGTTAAATTTACCCATGATAACTATTTGTACCACCTGTTATAACATTAAATAATTCTGCAGTTTGCCCAAAGAGTGTGTTCTTAACATAAACAGTTATTATTTACCACAAATTAATCGTTTTAATGTTAATGTGTTGTGTTCTCTTTGAGGTACAAACTATTACTTAGAATTTTAGATTATCTTCGTGCTTAAAAGTGTTAACAAAATGTCTGTCAGCTGTAGACCTAGATGTGATAATCGAGTGAGAACTAGATTCCATGGCGATAATACAAAGTTTGATGACGTTTTCGGTGTTGAATATTAATCTAACAGGTATTCTTTTTCACCAGTGATTATTTCGATATTACTGAGCTTTATGCATGCGAATATTGCATAAGCTACTTTTATTTAAAATATTTGTAGATAAGGCAGACATTTTTACGAAATAAAAAAATTATATCAGACTGTATGCTTACTTCTGTAAATAACTCTGAAACAGTGCATTTGTATCTGTAGCGTAACGAACATGATCGTTTACATTACATAATAATCATTCAAGATTTAAATATTAAGCTTACTGTGTGAAGGTGATAAGATATAAGAACCAAAAGTTATGTACAGATGGCTTTTATGTAGAGGGAGTTCAGCGTATATCAAAGAGATGTCCTGTACAAAATTTACATCAACGGGGTTACACATTTAATGATATGAACAAACACACTTATACTGTAATTACAGTGTTATTTCGTCCATACAACAATCGGTAGTGATTAAACTCGTTGAGTTAATTTCAAATAAATATGTAAAATAAGGTATTAAATTAACATTAAATTTATTTTACATGCATAATGAGAAGAAAGGCGTGTTATGTGTAATTTGTACTTACGCTAGGTCCATGATTAGTGTTTTTTTTGCAGACGTAAGTAAGAATCGCAGATCATAATGGCGAGTTGCCTTTGTGTTCATTGTACGACAATTGAAGAATATGCAAAATGGCTGTTGCACCTGCAAGGTTAAAGTATACAGGTCATGCACTTTTTTAATAAAAAAATACGAAGATTAAATATGTAATAAGTTGAAGACTTAACGCGTTGAAGTTATACTATGGGGCGCTATTGAGTTATTTGACTCTCAGCTAGAGCGCTGTTTCGCAAACGTTGAGCCCAGCACACAAGATTTCAGCTGACGCGAATTTTTGTGAGGTACTGTATCTGCGCACACTCAAATATGTTATCTTTCGTAATTATAACTCGTAATACGAACAGACATATTTTGTTTTATTCAAGACGAATATTGACCAACTTGTAACGTCTTCTCAAATTAGAGTAGTCCCACGCCTTTTTTTATTCGTATTTAATCTTGGTAGCATATTAAGGCAATGTCCTACGTAAGCGATAAGAAGCAAGCTGTGCGAGCTGCATAAGCAGCATGGGGTGTCATATGACATAAGGGAATCGTTTGTTGTGTCCTACGTGAGAGAAACACACGGCCTTCCTGCGCATGCGCCTTACTGGCCAGCGCAGCGACCTGCGCGAAAATTTCAAAATATTTGATCTCGGCTTTGGCCGCTGACCGCTTCGCTGTAACCTAGGACAGCGCCACACAAACAGCCAGTTTGATATTTCCGCTTCACCCACGCAACTCGCACCGCTCGCATTTAATCGCTCACGTAGGACACCGGGTAAGAAACGCGAGCCCCCATAAAATAGTGGAAACCTAGATTCCCACATCAACAAATCTGACAAAGGCGTACAGACAGATGCACAAAACTACGAGAACGCCACGAACCATGGATTAAAGTAATTAAATTGAATGTTTTAAAATAATTCCTCTTTCAAAGGCAATACCTGGAACCTCTGACTCATTGCTTCACGGCGTACAGAAAGTGTTATCGTAGTAAAAGCAGCGTTGGGTAACTGCCTTCTATAAGGCACAAACAACAGGGTTGAGTGTAAAGACTATTTGACACACGCTTTAAATTACAATACCAATACACATACGGGGAAACAGTTCGTAATTGGTTCGGGTGGGATATTTTTTAAATCTTGCTTTCGATTATAATTCAGTTAATTTGTTCATGAGTTGACAACAGCCAATCATGGCCAATTACAGCCAGTCACTAAGAACAACAGTATAATAAAATCTACATATGACATAAAAGATCAAGACCTATTGAATATAAACAGGGTCTATAATTAAATTCTTTATTTTAATGTGATAATTCAACAGCTACAGGAGCTAATTACAGTCAGCACAAGAAGATTAAATACACAGAAAAGAAGGACAATACATACATATATATAAAGAAAACGTAAAACATTCCATTTCACAGTACATAACAAAACTGAAGTTAGCAAAAATGCTAATTATCTAATAATCGACTTTAATAAACGATTTAGTATGTTAAAAGATTGTTAAAACAAGTTTACGTTAGACTATTATAGATTTATTTGGCAGCTGAGGTACAGGGAACAAACACACATTTGCTGAAAACAAAGTGTGTAAATATGATTTGAAGCTTTCACAGCGACGTAACTCAATAAAATCTCCTCGGGCGATCAGCCCCGTTAAATGGTTAAACAACAAAACCGACGTTTCAGGGACCGTCTATGTCCCCATTTATCAGGGATCAGAATCCTGATGATGGGGACAGAGACGGTCCCTGAAACGTCGGTTTTGTTGTTTAGCAATTTGACGAGGCTGATCGCCCGAGAAGATTTTATTGAAAGTGTGGAAAGTATCGAAGTCTTTATAATTTTGCTTTGGAACTCTGATGCCAACAGTGACCAAAAACGAAGCGCAGATAACAAAGCTGTTATAAACGTTCCTTATAAACAATACATACAAAATAGTAGCAATAATAATAATTCATATATCTTCGCTCTACTCGCTTAACAGAACATTATTCGTTGCAAAACCTCACATAGTTTATCTCACATGCTCCAAAATATCGTAAAAATTAGCAGATACTTCGAAGTAAAGAATGACAAATTGTTTCGAATGTTTAAACTATATAAAATGTAGGAATCCCGAGAAATACCTAGCCAGTTAGTTGCCTGTGGGCGTAATAACGAGAAGTCATTTGTGATTAGAGGTGCGTCATGCATTACGTTACTAAACGCGACAGTCGACTGCATTTCAAAACATCTTCTCACTGGTGTTTCATGTATAATATATGTAATCGTGTTTGCTGAGTTGCCTGATCCACTTCCGGGGGAAAAAAGTGTTACTAGGACTATGAACTCTGTATTTGTGATTTCCTTTCTTCGAAGATGAAGAGAATAAATGCAGAAAGATAAACAGAGAAGATTCTTATTGCTCAAAATCTATGTACTAAAAGCTAAAATGACGCTACTCATTTTATCCAGACCAGATCTGCACAACATGCAGCCCCCGGAAAGATTTTCTCTGCCCCAGGGGCTATCGGCTCAACCGCGCCGAGCCAATTGGAAAATCGTCTTCCAAAATTAATCAAGTGAAATGAAACCTAACGTTACTTTTAAACAAATGCAGATGATATTTAACTTTTTTCACGTCTCTTTTCATTTTTAAAATTTATTTTATTCTTATAGAAAACATATTTAACATTAATTATTGGCTTTTTACAGTTACGAGTACTTCTCTTTGTATTTCTTCGACTAACAACAACGATCGAATATCGAATGACATCGAGACAGCAGCCCGAAGCACTTCTATCGATTACATTTTGCCCCACAAGTACTTTCTAGCTGTGCAGGTCTGATATAGACAGTTACAAAAACGAACCTTGCTGAAAAAATGGAAAACGATTAAGTTAAAAGAGATATTTAAATAGTTCTAAACGTCAGAAGTAAAAGATCTAGCAAAGATTTTAAAAATATGAAAGTATCAATTACAAACGCTGGAGTCGGAAGTACTTACCCATGTATTAGACACGCAAAAAATGAAATTTTTTTGTTTTCATAATTGATATAATTATCAATACTTTCCTTTCCACATTTTAGTTTCTGTGCCATGAAAATGGCTATATCGTGTCGAAACATATCGCTTATTTAAATTTAAAATGTTAATTATACAGATATACAGCAGGGTAGATAAATAAAGTAATTCAGATTACGCTAACCTTGACCTACCGTGCACGTACTCTGTAATGTTTAACTGTGTGGTATATAATTAGCTACATACACGGTAGCAACATGTATTTACGTCGTTAAATGCATTACAGCCTCGTTTCATGTCTCTTCTGCGAAATGCCGCCAGCTAGCGCACGGCACTGAAAACAGATCAGCAAAGTAGGTCGAGAGGGAGTTGCACATGTCTAGAAAGTGAAACGACGGGACGCGATCGATGTGCAAAACTACGGCCAAGGTCAGCCGTGTCTATTCTTGCCGTTTATTTACTTTACTGTGCGAGTCGGATGTTGGTCGCGCTGCATTCTCGTATCTGAGATGAGTGCGAACTGTTTTGTTACATTTGCTAGCCAGACAGCAGCAGCAGAAACTCTCGCTGCGTGCCTGACCCTCGGCAATGCAGAAGAGCTGAGACTAGACTTGACTACAGAGGGGCTATAGTTCTGCAGGGAGGGGAGGGGTGATTCGCAAGGCCGACAAGCTAGGAGAGGAATGCAAACAGGAAACTATATTGCAGAGAAATGCCTCCCTCCATGATGCCACAACCGCCAAGAACATCATGATGGGAGCCAAATTCCCGGAAATTTCAGTTCACGGAACGCTTCTAAAAAAAGATTCAAAACCGAATTCTTTCGTTGCACAAAACGGAACGTTTTACTTCATAGTAGGCAGGGCCCGTGTTTCCTCAGTCTCTCGAAGCGAATGCTGGGATAGTAGGCCACGAACGTTTCCTTTCACGTTGCTCGCAGTGACGAAGTATGTCCCACAAGTAGAAGGAAACGCCTATAGACTGCCCGGACCGAAACGGTACGACACTTGTACGGGTGAGGTAATAATACATGGGCACAAAAGCAGACTGTAGACTATCCTTTAGGTCATCTGTGACTGTACCTGAGTCTGAGACCAAAAATAGGTTCTTTGCACAAGAGTTTTGTCCTGCTAGTTTGCGTCAGTCACAAGAAAAGTTGACAGTGGAACCACGGTTCCGGAGAATTTGACGTAAATACGTCTTTACGGAAAGGAAGTTTATATATTGGCTTTATTCTAACTATTTCCTTTATACATGCTTTACAATTGAGTAAAGTTTGATTAAAACATTGCTTAATCAACTTGAATTAGTTACGCTTATGATGGGTCTGTGGTAGCTGAATGTAATGTAATGAAATGTAAGGTAAGGTAAGGTAATGTTTTATTTATTTATTATTTAGTGTTCTGTCTGACGACAGGTCCATATGAACAGGATCCTTCCATCCTTTTCTCGGACTGGGACCTGTTCATATACGTTCTTGGCAGATGATCCAGAAGTGGTTTGACATTGCCTTCTTCTGTGTGTGAATGGAGTAATTGCTCGGATGCCACGGAGTAACCGGGGAAGCCCCCGGAGGAAAACCCGGTGTTGCCTAGACCACGGCCTTGCCCAACACAAGTTATAAATTCGGGCACCGCCGGTAACAATAATGACGAGTAAACAGATGACGTTCCCTAGGTAACCAGGTTACACTTTTTCGTTCCACTTTTTTGCCGAATGACCCTTCCTTATACACGTATTTACGTCAAAAATGGCTTCTTCCTTGAGTACTCGATAGACATGGGTCAAGAAATTCCCCGTCTTCGTGAAATCTGAAGAATCATTACCGTCATTGAATCCAAACCTCAGCTACATCACACCTACACAAATAGCCTGTATGTTAATACTTTCTTCCCACGTCCACGTCCCACCCTGTTCTTTTCCAAATATGATTTTGCATGCATTTCTGGGTTTCCATGCATGCTACATACCTCGCCACTCTCATACTCTTTTGCTTAATCAAGTTAACAGTACTGTACTAGTAAATTAATAAAATGTTATAAAACTCGTTATTACAGGCATATAGTATCGTCATTTTCTGTTAGTTCATCTTTCTTGGGTGCAAATATCGAGACTTAGTTCCCATGAAATACAGAAAGATTCAGACGGTATATAAAATTCTCTGAAGACTGAAAGAAGAAGCTCTGGAAAGTTTCGTGAGAAAAGGTGGGCGAGTGTTAAACTTTTAAAGCATAATACAATCAAATACACGGAATGTCCATAGCTCAGGGGCGTGTTTTAGGTTCAGTTCCAGTCGACAGGTCCGATAAATATGTCAGAAGTCAATCGTTAAAGGAGATACGGGTATTTTAAGTCTGCTGACGGAAATGCAGTGACGTCATTCGGTGTGTGTGTGTGTGTGTGTGTACCAGGATGCCCGCTATCACTGTGCGGTCGACGGAGCGATTCTAAACAAATTCGTTGTTGCTGGTCGAACGCGATTATTACAATTCAGTCTTCTCTCGCTTCCTTGCTACATCTTACGTTTGCGTTCGAGATAAATCGACAACAGGCAAGGGCCATTTTATATAATGAAGAATATATCGATATTGACTACATTTCTTGATAGTGTGACGATAATGCACACGTAACATTCGAAGAATTTCAACGGCGGTACCGGAAGGGTGAGTTTTCAGCAATGTCCACCGGCGACTGAGAGAAAGTGGAAAATTCCTCGAACTGAGACATTAACGACCACAACGACGCCATGTTGGTTTGAAGAACTGCATACTGGAAATGGCTGAGCACATTCAGCCATTAGCGTCCTAATTATATCCGATCGAGATGGCGAACCCTTCTGACATGCAAACTGTCCAGGTTGCACAACCAACTATTTTGCATGTGTAGTAATTTGCTGCAGGCTTCTTGAAGACCAGCAGCTCCACATGAAAATGTTACTCACCGACAACGCTACATACAACAGAGACGAAATAATAAATTCACACTCGATAATCTTCACGCATTCACGGAAAAAAAATTCAGAGCCGTTTATTGGTCAACATTTGGTGCGGTGTTACTGGAAACTAATTTATACCTGCACACAAGAAGTGACCAACCATCTCTCTTGAGGGCTATTTCCATTTCACACAGGGCCAAAATGTCGATAATCTGGGAGCCGATTTTGAACACTTATTTAATTTTCCAAATGTGTCCATCTTGGGCTTCATGTTCTTTTAGTGCACAAACTTCTCAAGAACGAACCTGCACCGTGAGTTACATAAATGACTCATTGGGCGTTACTTTCCTAGTCGTAAGGAAGGAGATTACCTGTTGATTCTTGTGTATTTGCACGAAGCGTCTTGTCGTTTCCTCTTCTGCTCGCGTAACAAACATTACGGCATCTACAACTTAAAATGGGTTCTCAATCATGGGAGCCACACATTAACAAACTTGTGAGGTGAGATAATGTTCCACCAGTCTCGAAGGTGATGTCTGCACAAAATACGAGCATGCGCCTTGCCACCATACCGCCAACATATAGCGAAATGCATTATGGGAGGTCATTTTCATCTTCACGTTTCATTTTCCAAACAGCGGATTTCTATCATGTTTAGGGTGTCTACAATGAAACACTATTTTAGACCGTATAGAAGATTCAATAATCACTTTTCCGTTTCGATTTCAATGATGCTGCACGCATGATTCAATTCTATCAATTTATCACACCTTGACAAGGCACAGAGGAAGGTTTTGTGTTTGAAAGTCAATGAGGCTAAGTCTCAAGGTCGATTGAACCGACAAAGTACGTAAGTAATTTTCCACAGTAACAAATACACGTTGTTGAATCTACGATATTGTGCTGTTATTTAGCGTTACTTCAGCAAATACACTGGTGAAACGGAGGAAAACCAAGAGAAATTTTAGCTATGACAACCAGAAACAGCAATGAGATTCTATCCATTGCTTTAATCTGTAAGATTTTATTGGGCGTATTTTTAACGATCTATGAAAAACAATTTATGTCTTTATGCAATTCATTGCGCACTATTCATAAAACCGAAAGGTTCATAGGTGCTCGCCATTAGATCCTATCCTGAGCTAGTGAACCCAGCCCACACCTACAAACTAACAAGGTACATTTTAGCATGTTAAACCCAGCTATGTCTGAGTCTTCCAGTGGTCACTTCTGTTTAAGTTTCCCAACAAAAACAGGTACACACTTATTAGTTCCAATACGTGCTACATGCCCAGTCAACCTTAATCTTCTTTATGTAAAAGTCCTGATAATATTAAGCGAAGAGTACGATCAGTAATAAAAATAATGCCCACGGCACTGTGCCAAATGCTTCACACGCCTTCCCCGACACAAGCCTGCTACTTGCTTTATCCTGGTTCCCAACTAGTTCAACAGCTACAGGCATATAAAATCTACGCCAACAACCTGTTTATCCAAGATCCTTTTAATATGATAATTACACTTATGCTTTGGCTACGCAAATACCATCCTTCAGCGGATTTTGATTCTTTGGGTTATTTGACAACTTTATTTCCACTGATAAAATCATACGTGAGTAGAAATTAGAATAAGATAAGAAATGGTAAACAAAACATTTGAGAGGTGGCGATAGATAGATCTAGCATGACTCGTTGTAATGTTATGCTCCCACTTTACAGCCTTGTACGAAGCATCCCCGTCAAAATTCCGTAATTCTGAATCGGAAAGGAAAAAAGTAGTCAAATACGAACATTATTATTTCTTCTGCCCCAGATTCTGCACTGACTAATCTAATTTATAACTAAAACCATTTATGCAACAAGCCTACCTGAACAGGAAATACCATTCATTCTTACACTTTCTTAGAAATTCGTACTATTATGTTTTTATATTGTCTTACAAGACATTCTGCATCGTTTCGGAGCATGGCCATTTCTAATCGCAACTATCAGCATTTCCACAGCAACAGGGTTATGAACGTATTTGACTTTCCCTTCGTACAATGCCAAAACAATCACTTGTCACTGACCAACTTTTTTTTGTCAAAGCTCTAGATCCCAACCATGCTTTTCACAGTATTGCCATCTCTAGTTCAGAGTAGGCTTTGAAAACATTATTTACACATTCCAGCGCATTCTCTCGTTTGGTTTGCCAACTACACGGCTTTTGGAAAAGGTCGAGCCACACAACTGCGTATTCATACTTCGGCAAATGTTACATTTTACATAAAATTAGAAAAAAGGAATAGATCAATTGTAATTTAACTGAGGTGGAGGCAGCTGCATAAACCTAAGGCCAAGAACTGTCTCATATACTGTGTACATTCGTGATAACTGCAATTATGTTGCTCAGAAGTGTTATGACTATCAGTGAATTTAAGGAAACTGGCCTAGCAGCTGATCAGGATGTGGCCTTGGGGTGATGCAAATATTATCACAATTTAATAAAAGGAACAATATGGTCACTTAAACATCATTAGGAATATTTCTTTATAGATTCCCTAAGTATTTATTCAATAAAAAATATGTCACACATTACAAGAGGGTGCTTATTCTGTGGCTGTATAGTTTCGCAGACACCATCTTCCCCAACTGTCTCCATGAGTATGTAGGAAGGCTTGTTTGTAATATGTTTCTTGATTCATTTGGCGTGGATAATGTTAAGTTGCTTACAGTGCATTATAGTACTATTCTAACTTGCAAAAGTAATTATATCTGACAGATGATTTTTAAATGCAAGGTTCCCCTGAAAGATTATTTCTAAAGAATCATTATGTATTGTAATTTGGTCAGCAGTTAAATGTGTAGTCACACATTTCATTATCAGGATACAGGCCTTGACATGGCCAGTGTTTGCATCAGTAACAGCAGAAGGTCCATTCACTTATTTGCCACGAATTCAAATTAATATGGACGAGGAGGTCCTGAAATGACAACAAAGAAAAAAATTTAACATGCCAGTAGAAAACCTATGGGCTTACAGTGAAATCCTATCTATTGAAAGCACTACTGAATATTTTGTGATTCCATGAAGTGTTATCTTGTACTAATGTTCTATATGGGCTTTGCTGTTGTAAAATTTCAGATATTACTGTAAATGGAATAAGAAATTAGCGTATTTTATCAACTGCAAAAAGACACTAGTATTATAAATTTATGTAGATATGTTGATGACATTGTGTCCCGTGCCGTAGTCGCGCAGTCTGAGGCATCATGCTTCAGACCGGCGATATGGAATGCACGCTGGTTCGAGTCTCGGGGGAAAATTTTCTCATGAGCTTTCGACCAGTGTATGGGACTGGTGCCAACCCAGCATCGTGAGGAAATTGGGGAGCTACAATAAGTAGCATAATCCGGTCAGGAAAGCTAGCAATGGCTGGGGGTTCGTCGTGCTGACCACTCATTTAACACCAAAATCTCTCGTGTGTACTTATCGATATTCTACACAAAGTAAATCTTGCACACTACTGTCTCAAACATGAATATTCACACTTCCTATCATCAGTGTGGCCAATCTGTCAGAATAACACTCCCTGTTGCCTGTGATTAAGTACGAAAAGCAACAAATGATCGTGCACAGCAGAGAGGCTGAGCTGAGGCACAGCCACCAAAAAATCAAAGACTCAAATGGGTAATCTGCCACCTTTTGCAGTGTCACCTCATGTTCACAGTAGCAAATCGCCTATACATACCTCCTCTCATCATACCAGGTGGTGGCCCTCGCATCCCTGGAGGACCCATTGGACCTCCTCGACCCATTGGCATACCAGGTGGCATACCTATCATCAAAGTGGTACTCCAATTTAATATTCACACATGACACATTAAAGACATACAAAATAAAACTGAGATAACAAATGGCAAGATTTAACTCCAGATGAAATTTTAATAATACTTTCTGATACAGTATTCAGTTTGTAATTTTTGACTTTTATATGAGGCTAAATCCAAACAAATATTCACACCCATTACAAAACCACAGACTAAAACTTTAGTTCTGAATGTGGGAGATATAGCTTGAATGAGAATGCAATATCAAATGGATCATAAAGAAATAGGGTGTGGAAATATAGAGTTATATACAAGAAAAATCAATATAACTCACCCATCATGCCAGGGGGTGGTCCCATCATACCAGGTGGTGGTCCACCAACAGGCATGCGGGGTGGACCTGGCTGCTGTGGCCGCATCTGAGGAGGAGCTGACACCTGTGGTCCTCCACGACCTCCAGGGGTCATTACCTGCTGAGATGGACCACCCACACCTCGGACTGGGCCCTGAAGACCTGCAATATAATTAGCCTGCTTCAACAGTTTGTGGAAGTGTTTAACATTAATACTGTTCACCACCAGAACCAAGGTAGAGCCAACTGCAAGTCCTTCTGTTTGTTGGTAGAACTGCGCATGATTAGGAATGACGCTGGGAAATGCCACAAAGTTCAGTGTTGAACGTAAGACACTGGTAAACAAACCATCCAGTGCAAAATCTTTACAGAATAACAATAATTAAACTACAGCCACTTATTGAATAGCAACAAACTACCAGGACCTATTCAATGAGGTTTTCAGTAGCAGACTACACAGCACTGAATGATTAATGAACAATGAATTGTAAACAATATTGAAGGAAACAATTATGGCATAATTCATGGTACTATCCTGACATTTGCCAGGATAGACAGAGTAAAACCATGAGAAACATCAGTCAGGATAGCCACTTTCAGGGCAGAAATGTTAACCCCGGACTTCATGGATATGAAGCATAAGTGCCATCCTCTTGGCCTGAGGTTTTTAAACCATTTTCAAGACATTATCTTTACATATTTTCACTATAGTGGACAGAGCATGCTAAATGATGCCAATATTCACTACACCCAAAATACTAAAATATCATTGCAGGGTGAACATACGCTTTAGAACTCCTGCAAAGAGATGGAAAAATTCTGATGTAAAGTACTCATAAATATGGAATAAAAGTAAATACATACCTAGCAGACAGCAATGAAATGGAAACTACCTATTGACTGCCATAATAGCAATAACCCCAAACACAGTTCACATCTCTTTATTATTTCTTACATTAAAAGAGGCAGTCAGGAAATCAGAAGCAATGAAGTATATGTACAGTGACAGAGTTAAAGTACATCAGTCTATTAGAACAACAGTTAACTGTACCCTGAAGCAATGTATTATTACAGAAGGGAAATAAAATTTGCTGCTCGAAAGTACTCTACTACCTCATTCCATATTCATCCCTTCCAATTCCATGGCACCTGCTTTATCAATACCTGACAATGAACCACAACTATAAGAAGAGCACATACCTGCAGGAACTCCTGTAGCTCCAGTAGGAACGCCCCTTCCAGCAGCTCGTCCCATGCCAGGTCCAGGTGCTGCTCCAGGAATGGGCACACGAGGAAGTCCTTCTTCTGGAGGAGGTGGCCCTTCAACTGTCAGGGATACAATATTCTCCCCACGCAGTAACACAAATCCAAGGACTCTCTTTTCTTCACGCTCGGGCTGCTTCGAGTTTTTTGGTTTAATCTTACGGAATTCTTCACAGTCTCCGAGGATAAGGTTCATGTGTTTGTCAAATGCTGAAATAAAATTGAATATTACAATGGAATCGAAGGTCAAAGTAATTTGAATCCAAATTTTCTTTCCTACACATAAATATACACAAGCATCTTTGAAAGTCATGAATGCATTATTACAAACATAAAGAATAATAAACCTTTATGGCACAATATTTTCTGCTAAACTGGGATATTCCTGGGGGCCTGCCCATTCATGCAAATAAACCTGTCATGCATGTGGCATAATTCAATAATTCTGCTTTATTAAACACTTTTTTAAATATGGTTTTAGTAGAAGCACATGACATTTTTGAAAAATTCAGTTTAATGTTTAAATGACATAAGTCAACAATACTTTTTTAAACAGTTTTTAAAATTTGGTTTCTAACAAATGCAGTTGATGTACTGAAAAATAATGGATATAATTCAATAAAATGCTTAAATATGAGGATTCAACAAACATATTCTTTGAAATAGTGTTTCATATTTAGTTTCTAGCAGATGCAGATAATGTCCTGGAAAATATATACTAGAACTGCTAGTCGCAAACAACAGAATATATAAATATCAATGTTGACTACACTTCCTGTAATATGAGAAATTAAAAATCAATAGTAATATCCTAACATCATGGGCTTGACCAAATTTGTTAATGTACCACATCCCCTGTATTAAGTAACATTACCACCAACACAAGAGGTAGCTCAGGGAGCAGCACTATCCAACTTCCATGCACAAAGCACCAGGTATGACTGAAAGAGAAGTGACTACATTAAATAATAAATTTTGTGTAAAGTTGGTGTTCCTGGCAGGGTATATTATATCTGGTAGATAACATGATAGGACAGAAGTCAGAAGAATGAGACATACTATCACACATATCGCAATGTACAAGTGTAAGATGTGGAAAGGTGATAACAATGAGAATAAATGTACAATGTTCTAGATTTTTTAAAAGAACTAAAAATGTGAGGGCTTAAAAAAGCAGGAAATGAAAACAGTTAATACTAAGTTGTATTATATCTTGAGAACTGAAAAACGCTACTGCCTTAAACAGAAAACAACTCTAATAAACACGCATATTATATAATATCTTTGGGTACGCCAATGCTTCTGGGATCTTACATACATTAATACACTATTTATTCCTGGCAAAACCGAAATGGCTATTCTATTACATACCCTTAAAGGTTCCTATAAACGTCCTCGAATCCTGTAAAATTATTCGGACCCGATAATTTATATGCTGCAACATTTTGTTGTTCTTGCTGATCGTCTGAAACGTAAATAACATTATTACATGCATAAATAAAATTATAATAAATACAGTAAAAGAATATATAACCTACAAAAGTGAACTACCGGCCTATCTCTCAAGAGCATTATGTATAACAATTTCAGAGTTTTAAGCTTACTACTTATTATTTATAATAAATTCTTACCATCTTTATTAGTAATTATTATGAACTCGACAAATACACGATTACTTCCCAAGAACAACAGTTCTCGGCCAATTCACACACCAACTGCCCCTTTACGCTACAGACTCATGTAACAAATGCTGCCAACATTAAGGTCGATATACCAATACACCGTTCCTACGAGAATAACGCGCGGAGACTGCGTGGTATAATCTTGTTGAAATTTACCGACCGCACGCCTGATTCCATCATCAGGATTGATACCCATTACCATGCAGCAGTATGTAGACACACTTCTTATTACAATACAATGCCGAAAACGAAAATTCAGTGTTACAACAAAACTGAAAAGTTGTACAGAAAGAGAATGACAGTGGGGTGGTGATGTTAAGTTGGTAATAAGGCTAACAACCGAAATAAAATAAATAGGCTAAATTCTCAATTATGAGGAGGTGGTCGTCTTCAAACCCAATCAACGAAAGGTAAAGAATAGTGTTCAGAATAAAAGAGTTCCTTTATATTACAAATATATTTTACAACAATTTTAAAAATCCTTTTCCCAGAATGTATTGAAAAAATCCCATAATTCATAGGTTTACCATCTTCACACATTAAGTCTTGCATAATATCCACTGGTAATGATTAAATGCACTTAGCAGATGAAACATATAACATAATTCATCAAGAATACAATTGCTGTCCTTAAAGCATTTCACAATAATCCCAGGATCTTATTTTTTTTCTGGACCATCCTAAATACATACACAGAAGCCACACTGCCTATCATGCCAGGCACTGGAATGAAATCCTGTATGGAACCAGAGAAGAGGCAAATAATGAGTAAGGATATATTCTATAAATGAAAATTTTAAAATGTAAATATATGTTTAATCTCACATTTTAACATCATCATGTACATTCCATAAACTTATTAAAAACTATAACACATTTCTCACATTCATTAAATTCTGAAACACTCACATGTACATGCTATGTCAGCTGAGTGGATTCAATTACTTGGTAATTTCATGTATGGCATGTGCAAGGTAATCAACATTCTTTGATGTAACTCCAGCCATGGAAATTCTGCCATCTTTGGTCAAATAAACGCTGAAATCCTTCGTAAGACGTTCAGCCTAAAAAATATATTCCGCAAAATAACATTTACAAATTCCTAACCAAATTGCACAATTAAGTAATGGATAGACACAAAGTTATCCAGCTGTTTATATGCCTGTGCCCCCTGTATTCTTACCAAAGTACCAGCTCGTGGTAGGTAGTAATGTAAGAATAAGTGTAGCCAAATATGAAGTTAGGGAAACATACAGATGTGGCTGGTTGGAGTAAGCACGATGTTACTCACAGCCTAAATGACGACAGTGTCAGACCTATAAATTGATACAAAAATTTCAAGTCACGTCTATGCAGTCCTCCAAAACTAATAACTGTCAGTCATACCACAAATATAAACAGCAGGCAGAAATCTCTAAGGGAAAGGTTTTAACATTCGTCATATTCTCTACAATGGTAAAACATCAATAAAATATTGAGGTAAATGCATGAAAACAATTCCTGCAAAGTGCTGATATGTAATTAATGACATATTTTATCAACCAGAGACTATACAAGAAACATAGTGTTTTATGAACACATGTAGCTTCCTTATCCTTAAATATTTATTCATGTTATTGTCTAATTTTGGTGGTGCCTACTTTGTTTTGAAATTATATCAAAATATTTGTAGTTCCAATTTTGCATCAAAGAAATAAATACTGAAATACTTATTCCAATATAGTGATTCCTGAACTGGGTTCTACGAGAGATCTTCCTGGGTTCCTTGTACAAATTTCTCAAAACATTAATTTTTATATGAATGTCAATTGGAAAGGAAATTATCTATTACAATTATAAACCATTATCTGATTCTGTACACATACCTGCTGCTGGTTCATGCCTGTGAAGCAGAACATACCAATCTGGTCTGTGATGTGTGACCAGTCACGCTGTGAGCCTTCTTTCTTTAAGTTATCACGTAGCTGTGTTCGTACAGATATGATACGGTCTGCCATACCCTTTACATCTTGTAGCCTGTACATCACATCAGTTATAACATGGTATTTATCAGTTCTCAATACATTAAGATCTGTCATATCAAACAATGCACATGGTAACAATTGGATAAAGCCATTACTTATTCCTCATTACATCATAACACTATGTATTTGAAACTAGTATGAAGGCAGTAAACACCTCTGAAATGTCAGTTTCTACCAGTCTACATGGCGCAACATATCCAAAAAAATAGCCATCTTACAGATATTTATATCATAATTGTATCATGTTAACATTACATGCTAGCTGCAAATTGATTAATGCAAAAGGAAAATTCTTACCACTGGCTCTTCAACGAAGGATCCGAGAGAATCTCAGTTACGATGCGAGCTCCGTGAATGGGTGGATTGGAATACATGGGCCTGACAATGATTTTGAGCTGTGAAAGTGTGGTCTGGGCTGCTTCCTTGCTGCTTGTAATGAGAGAAAATGCTCCTGCTCGCTCACCTGAAATGAGAACATAAAGAAACACTGCTGATATTCAGAAATGTAAAATTTGTAACCACACTACTCAGTGTTGACCTTACAAGAGTGAGCAACGAGGGAACAGTAGGAACTCAAGGTAGGAAGCAGATCACATATGGAGATGACTGTATTCTGGGAAGTTGCACCATATAGTCTGATGTTTCAAAGGAAAATTGCCCTGATGATGCTGGTAGCAAGCACCTCTAAAACACAATTTATTACTGTTATAAACATAGCTAAATAGAAACCACACGGAAGACACGTATTTCTGTATATCTTGTTTTGAATACACTTACTATTACCATTTTGATAGCCATTTAAACGTGCCCATGAATAAAGTTCAAACAGAGGGCAACACAGTTGCGTGCACATTAAACAGGTTTAATCAGTAGATTACAATACGTGTGTCACCTGGAGATGGTCACAGATTGACTGAAACATGTAGTGGTAAAGTAAGACATAAGATATAATTCATAAAATAAATTGCTGCATAAATAGAATTATTGTAACCAGTGATTCAGTTTTGATAAAAAAAAAACTTACCATAGAGTCCCATGTTCTTGGCATAAGACTGCGTCAAAACAATTTCGTGACCGTTCTTCACAAAGTGTCGAACAGCAAAGGCATCTCTTGCTACATCACCTAAAAGAAAATGAAATGTTAGTAGTATCCATGATACACTCACTTGAACAAAGTACAGTCATCTGTCCTTAACTGAGACATTTCTTCCTAAAACCTTGGCAACTTTAATTAAATAATGCTAAAAAGTGATACAGGGTATGCCCAGAGAGACAGGGAACTTTTAACCCTCTAACAACACAGCATTTAACGGAACCTCATTATGTGTCTGGGGGATATTTAAATATTCACACTCCATAAATGCAATTTGTAAAATTGTTATAAAATCAAATAATGCAGAATTTAGCAGTCCAACATGGCTCTCTGGGTAGCAGAATCTCATGTTTTGCAGACTCAGAATGGGAAGGAGCTGATAAACTTTTCTTCACTTATGATCATTACTTATACACTAATAAAACACAAAAATAATGCCTAAAATAGACACATAAATATAATAGGAGGAACAGAAGACCCTTATCTACAAATCTTCAACATTCTGAGAAACATTAGAATAACACTGACATGTGAGCAATAATGGGTTAATTGTCATTATCTCTTATTGATATCAATGCCATATGGTGGGCAAGAGAGTTACTATGGCTTACTGAGGCTGGCATCAAAGGATTATCATAATGGTTTTCAAACATTCTTAGTTAGCTAGTTAGTCAATGCTATGTGACATACTGTGCAGTACATATGTCATATATCCCTGTAGGTCCTGTACTTTTCTCAGTATGGGATCATAAAAAAAGAACTTGGCACATAGTAATTTGTAAGTATGTGATCTGATTTCTTAAGAAGTATACTGAAAAATTCAATGCATTTAAACTTGTCATCATCATATTCATCAAGTATTAGTCCAAGTGGCCTACCACTGGACTTGCTGCTCTTCGGCCAGTGACCAAATGGGCAGGACAATTATATTGCTTTCAAGTTTCATTTGAACTTGTGCATACTATAAAATAATATTCCACAAATGAACAATTTTTAATAGTGGGTTTTTTACAATTTTCCTTGATAACTAAAAAATTGAAGTTATAATACTGTATTAAACACAAACAAATATTTCTGTGATACTGCAATCATTTGTGCCTTTAAGGCTTAGAATATATAAAAAATGAATTACTTTTGTTATGATTCCTTAAGTGTGACATATGTCTTGCAAAGCAAATTCTGCACAATACCACTATCTCTAATTTCCACATTCCACTAATTTACCAAGATCATCCATATTCATTAATATCTTTCTACATCAAAACTACTCTAAAATTCTACAATTAGGCCTGATTAGTTCACATGTAACACAGTACATATACACACAGATTCTGTTACACACAAAACACACTTGCTTGAATTTGGATGGAAATTCCTCAAAAATCAGATGAAAGCCAAGCTGAAGGAGTGCCTACAAACCATAAGAAAGATCAGAACAATCATCTCGTGCCACCTAAATAAAAATACATGCAATATGTAAATTAAGCAGCAGATAATTCTAATTATATACAGGATAAGTGGCATTTCAAAATAGTGTGAACACACACTTGACACACGGAGACTGAAACCATAATTTTATGTTCTTAAATACCCATCCTTATCATCTAGAACTGTGACACAATCTAAACTTAATTACAACTAATGAACACTGTGGCAGCACAGCGTAAAAGTTCAATATTACTTATAGTAAGCCAGATGCATCCATCTCCTTTCCACTCTAACAAAAATTTATCGAAAAGTTACCCTCCACTTCGTTAGTCCTCCAAGTGGGACTTCACCACCAAAAGTCAGTATGCATTCCATGTCTCCCTCATCCTAAACATCACTATCACAACAATACTAGATCATCTGCATATATCAAAAAATTCCTTGTGATCAACGAGTAATATCTTAAATTGCTTATTCATCCTTTGGTCTAATATCCTCCTAAGCAGGATTTGAAGTTCTCATGGTGATAAATAAAAAGCTGTAGTGTCATGTAGTCAGAGTGATCGACCTACATACCTGATGCAAATCCTTGATATGCCATATCAAAAAATGGAAATAGTTTCTTCTGCTGAACAACTTTGGAAATTTCGGCCCATTGCTCGGGTTTGGGATCCACTCCTGTAGGGTTGTGTGCACAGGCATGGAACAAGATGATGGACTTTTCTGGGATTTTCTGAAAACACCATAGTTACTAACAGTTAATGAATAATTTGTGGGAAATGAAATAAAATTATTCTATAAAATGCATATAATAAACCATTTTGTAAAATTTATTAAATTTAACATCAGTTTATTCAGAATAAGGTGGAAGTTCACTGCTTCAGGCATGACATTCAGAGTTAATACCCAAGCAACGTTGAAGTTCACAATCCAGGCACACACAACACAACCTTGGCTCACCGTAACTCAAGTAAAATTTGGGCCAGTCAACATTAAGCTGAGTAAATCAATTTAGATAATACACCAACTCATGTGCAATTAAACGTTCAGTGTGGTATTACATGAAGTATAGTTTTACAAAATGTGACCTTTTACAGTGCTTTATAACAAACCATCGTTTCATGAATTGTATGATTTTAATAGACAGACAAATTAATATTTTTGCCACTGATGATGACCTCTTGAGGTTGAAACGTGTTTGGCACAGTGTTCCGTTATGTTTGTATGCATGATTTTATATATCAGGTTCCAAGTATAATGGAAGACATACATGATGATCAAAATAATGTGGAAAAAGTAGAAAGAATGTATAAAAATAAGATTACCAAAATTAGCACTGTACTATAAAGATCTGACAAATGAAACAAAGGTTCTTAAATGAGAGTTCACAGAACAGGCTTTACAAACATAAAATCCAACTAGATCAAGAAGAATAATAATTTTCTCAAATACAAATTGCAGTCAAAATGAAAACTATCAAGAATAAAAATAATCATGACACACACTTACCGCAATATCTTGCAAAGCCCCCTGGAAATCAAACCCGCATGTCTTCGGATCATAATACCGATACTGCTGCACATTGAGGCCTGAGTGTTTGAAGATTGGGGTGTGATTACCCCATGATGGTGTTGGTAAATATACTTCTTTGTTTCCGGGAAAGAATTTTGCCAAAAAAGCTGCACCAATCCTCAGAGACCCTGTACCTGAAATCCCTTGTAGTGTGGCATTCTGAAATGAAAGGATAAGAATTTCACCAGTGTTCTAGGAAAACTGATAAGAATAATGGAATATTTATTTCATACAGAATATCCAAAGTAAAAAAAGTATGGTCTACTAACCCCATTAAAGCATCATACGTTGTCCACGATCAATATTGGTTGAAGTTGGGATGGTGGTAAATGGAATTTTTTAATGTTTCTGCATATTTGTACTTATTAAACATATTCAAATGCCACATGGTGTGTGAAATACTGTGGACAGGATCTTCAGAGTAAAAGAAATAATAGTATAATAATATTTTGTGAAGTGTATAAACTATGGAGCTCATTATGCAATTTTCCCCAGCCCCTTGATCACTTCATCCCTCTTAGGTCTAACTGCTAGCACACCATTCTCAGATATCCTCAATCTGGTTTATTTCTTTAACGTGTGACAGCAAATTTCATACCCATACAAAACAACATGAACAATTACAGTTTTGTATATTTTAAACTTCATTTTTTAGATATCAGCCAGGAAGATAAGTAACAAGTGCATGGTAGCAAGCAAACATTATCTGAATTTAGAAACAAATTATTTACATGAACAATATCTTACATAATAGTGTCTTGAGCATGGACTTAGCTCTGATAAATATATTTGATCTATTTCATATAACACAATTATCTATTTCAATGGAAAAAAAGCATCATGCAATTTATGTTGTTTTTGAAGGGCAAACAACATTTTCACATCTATGATTAATTATTATAAAATTAAAACAATAATGTATAATACTTCAGCATGTGACATTTAATTTTCTTGTTACATCAGCTTTTTCAAATAGAGCAAACAATTCTTGATATTTAGTAGCAAACATTCTAAACCTGCTCTGTACATCACAGCTACTTACCAGGCCATTCTTTGATTGCTCATTGTCTTCTCCTAGTGCCAAATTAATTGACAGATTGCAGAACTCTGCACTACCAGCAATAGGTGCATACTCTTTATCCAGTTTCTTTGCACTCAATCGTTCCTCTGCCTAATAGACAAGCAAGAAATTAAGTGATTTAGAAACATATAAATACTCACAAGGTGACCCAACTGAACTGTCACAGAGCTGTTAAAAATGGGAAATTATTTATATGTGCAATTTCTTGATAAGTAACAGAAATATCTTCCTCTAAGGTATCCTTAAGATGCAATAAATACCTTCAGTACACTTGGGAGGACGTAAGGTTTTCCATTGTCATCTCGATATGCTCCTACACCAAGGTTGATTTTCTTTGGATTGGTGTCTCGTTTATATGCTTCTGTAACTCCCAAAATAGCATCTGGTGGGCCCATTTCTACGTGAGACCACCATGAGCTAAAACAAATGCATATAACAACTACAGTGAAGGCATAACGAGCAAATATCTATCATAAGAAAAATGAATAAAGAGCTTAAAACAGCATTGTATATATACATTCTGTTACTCCTATCATATCAGAGTGTCTCCAATTTGTTAGTTTCAAGCACAGACCTAAGAAAGTTTAAGAACTGCAGATCGGAGCTTTACTTGTACAGAAGCTAGAACATGAAGAAGCCTAATGCTATGCTACCAAGTCAAAAAATCAGTTAGCCATCACATTACCTTAATTTCTGTCTACACAAGCCCAAGGAGAACACAAATATCCGTGAAAAAGAAATATAAAAAACTAACTCCTTCTTTAGAAGCTAATAGTACACTCAGCTATATATTATGCTGAGGAGTCCTACTACGTTAACAACCGAACATTAATATAAAAACAAGATTAATGATAGTTACAGAAGCAACCATAGGAAAATTTGATACAGAAATACATGCCATCAACGTTTGTAAATACAAAATCCAACAGTGCACCAGATGGAATAGAATTATTAAGTTGATTGAGACTAAGAAAGCAGGAGAAGGAGGTGGTAGTTATGGAAGTAGAAAATACCTCAGCATTATGGTACGATTGCTGGGGGATTTTAATAATACAGCATTTCCATGTAAACTGATTCCTAGACCAGGATTTGACACTGGTATTCTTCTGTGGTGTTATTTAATACTTTACCAGTCATATAACATGTATAAAATTTCGGAGGTGTATTGTATTAAAAAGGGATACGCCCCACTTCATCATTTGAACAAATAATCCTGAAACCCAAGAAATTTAACTCATGATTGCCAGTGCTTAGTTGAAGCCGGAAATAAAATTTATACACTCGACGACAGCAAAATATTTTTGGTCGACTTAAAAAAAGGAAACGATAATATTTTATGCAAGTATCCAATAATGAAATCTGTATTATAATTGTTATATTCATCACACTCGGATGACCTTCACTCTGACCCTACCAGAAGTGTCACTGCTCATACCTTTCCTACTGTCTCATAACAAATGTTCTAAATTTAATGTCAGTACAATACCCAGTTTTATTTTATATTATTTTAAAGTAAGGCATACCTTGCTCTGCCAACAACGGAAGAAATTCCATACTGATTGTTTTTTAACAAACTAGTCGAAACTGATGCGATTCTCGAAGATGTTGCCATCCTTGAACAAGGTCAAATAGTTACTACTGCAGATTGCTCCTATTCTACAGCACACGGTGCTAATGATACAATCCCATGTAGTATCCGGATTAAGATTACATAAAGGAAGTGACGGCAGAGACCCTTTTTTATCTCATCGACATATATCAGTAACACTAAAATTACATTCAACGAGTATCCCACACAGACCAATCACACTACATGCCAGTTCGGTCAAACACGTTGTCAAAAACCCGCGAATATTTCAGATGTATCCATGTAAAATTTGCGGTTTTCAAGGTGTGAACACGGGTTGTGATGGCCTGGGTTATGATGCCGTGTACCCTAGTTTTGCTCTGAAGATGGAGATGACACGTTCTTCTCAAATGCTGGTAACAACCTATAAGCCTACTAACCAACCAACAATACAGCAGTCCTTGGCACGAAATTCCCCGTCTTTCATGGAAACAAAGTTCATTACCATGTTCACAAGAGTCCGTCATTTGCACCTGTCCTGAGCCAGATGAATCCAATCAGAACCTCAAAACAAGTTTAATATTATCTTCATTGTTCGGAGTGGTCTCTTCCCCACAGGCCACATTATAATCATCACTACTCAAGCAGATTTAGAAGGATTGACAACCAACAGCCATTGGGTCACATTTATCCTCACAACTTGTCACATAAATAAAAAAGTTCAAAATATTTTTGTGAAAGCCAATTGTCATCATATAAGTGAAAAGGTATCAAGTGCTTCAACATTTTTAACATTGGTAAAACGGCAAGAAAACAAATATTGCAACAAGACGACAGTATATAGGAGATCCTGTAAAGAGGGTTGACTGTATATCAAATTAAATGTGTAACACAATCAGAACTTTTCTGTTTTCAAATGCTTTGATGTGTCTGGGTTTGAGCTTACTGATTTGTTTGAATTAAAAACAATTGATGTAATAACGTTACAACAGCGGTAGAGCCATAGATATAAACGCTGATTTACAAGCCGTGTTCAAAGATGATAGAAAGTCGGGTAGTGACATCTCACATAATGCGAACGATTGACGTGATGCGTTTTCAACGAATAGCAATTTTCATGGGCAAGCACGTAATGTACTTATATACTGGTCTATGTCTAATGGAATGGATTCCGTAGATTATTACTAATCTCGCAAATGATGGATGTAGCGGGTTGTTTCCATGTAATTTCCGTGTGTCGAATGATTAAAGAGTTTCTAATTTAGTTACGCATCAATGATGTATTTACTATCTATGGTTCTGTCTTAAGCTATGTTACCTTTCTAGCGACTGAATGATGAAACGATTTAGAGGTTAGTACAGGAATATGGAATTCAGCATAACTTATTAAAGTCAATTATATTACCAGAGCTAATGCACTTTAATATGTATTGACATTGATTTATATTACTTAAAGAAGACACTAATACCTCATTATTTGTATGGCTGTAAACTAAAGTTTTGCCTGACATACCTGACGCTCTTTTACAAATAATCTAGGATTTATAAAGAATGCATGTGTATAAGTATGGATTACACTTTTTCTTTCTCGTAATATTAATATCCCCACATTTATTCTCTCTTCCCTTCAGCCTAGAAAAAATTGACAATACACATGAGAGAGGCCACTGTAAATCATGTTGACAAGAATAAGGATTTTTACTGAGAATGCACTCTAATTAAGCTCAACCAAGCATATCTATGTGGTAGACCAGCTGCTAAAATGACTTTTGTATTTTGATTTGAGCTAATATATTCTGCCCTTCTCTGCAGACAAACCAGCATATATGAAAATAGATTTCATTTACATTCCATAGGATTTTAGCCTTGTAATTTAAAAGTTTTCATTAAGATGGATACATATTTTACATTTTGGTAATTCATAATATAAGATATATCAGACCAAAAAATAACATAAATTTTATGTTTTAGAACAGTGTAGAGGATTTGAAAGTAAATGCAGTGATGACTTGGAAATAGTAAGTACTCAAGCCAGTGACCAGGACATCTTCTTTGACTCAGTCATAGGGCATATTGAAGATATTTTGATGGGTAAGAATATAAATGCTAGTTTTTGATGATTGTAACTTCTAGTTTGACTAAGTTCTGTTGAGAAATAAAGCAAAATAAGTGTAGAAGTGAGACAGCTTACTATACTTCTTATAAAATAAACACTAATAATTTATGTAAGATTTGAGGTATTCACAGCAGTGAGTATGAAGATTTCTGTCTTCTGGGTTGTTGCGCCGTGTAGTATGGTCGATGCTAACCAACGTTTCAGAGGTCATCAGGGCGATGAATACTAATAATTTATGTATTCGAATGTCGCTCTCTATATTCTATGTGTAAAGTGGATTTATGACCTGAAAGAATCAATTTGCACAACTGACTGTACAATGCATAATTGGATTCTTAGGAAAGAAATGGCCCTTAGTATTGTTTTGTCTCCCACAAAAAATAATTTCATTATATCCAACACAAAACTCATGCTTAAAAATATGCTTGTTACAGTAAACTGGAACATAAACTATGTCTCTTACACTGTAACCAACACCTTTATTGTTGAATAGCCATAAGGAATTGATTAATCAGCATGTCACTTCATGCACTGCACTTCTTTGATGTTATTAATTGTTACCAGTAGCTTGATTATGAAATTCAGAGTGTATTTTTGTTACAGAAGAAAATTTCCAAGAACTACAAAAATGTTTCATGGAAAAGTACTGGCATGAGTTTGAAGATGAGGAGGAAAACAAATTATGTTACATGAATATTTTCAAAGAATATGTAAGAATCCTGCATATATCTGTTTCATAACTGAAATTCAGATCATATGAACTACATGAGATGGCATGGTTTTCTCCTGACAAAGCCAAAATGGTTTTTCATTATCCATTTTGTGGTAATGTTGGTTTTGATCCACACCACAATAAGTTACAATAAAGAGATTCTTGTTTTCAGTGAACTGATACTGCAAATAGTTCTACATGATGCAACATCCTAAACTGTACATAGACTTTAACCCTTTTGTCATATATTTTTGGATCAGTTTGTTTTCAGGCATTTGTAGCTTTTATTCTTCTGTCAAGTAAGAGACCATGTTTCACACTCACATAGAACTACTTGTAAAATCACTATTTTCTATTTCCTGATATTCCACATTTGTAATTATTACAGTTTTCAAACAAATAAAAATTGTCCTCCTAATTTAATCTTGAATCTCATTTTTATTTTTGTTGCTCCCAGGTACTTCAACTCTGAAACATCCTCAAATTATTACATACATTGCTTAATTACTGATTTTGGTTTTGTGGTATGTTCACATTTATTTTAGTCTTGGACCAGTTTCTTTACTGGCTTACAGGAAATTTCTGTGTTATTTTTATGGTATTTTTATCCTCAACAAACTGTCATCAGCACCTGATTTAGGCCATTCAATTTCAGCCGTATCTGATTATCTTAAAACTAACTGATGTCATATTCTAGAGTAAGTTAAAAAGCAGTGGGGATAAAGTATCTTGAAGCATTTATAAGAATTTTTTTGTTTCAGACTGACACTATTGAAAAGCATATTGAAATACACCTTGTGAAGATGATACCAAATTTTTCAATGGACGAGTTTATTGAACAGTTACAGTAAGTTCTAACATTTAACATATGTAAATATGATAAATGATAAAACAGTTTAAGTGCATGTGTTTGGAATGAGAAGGGCATTCATATTTTTCTGTTTATGATTTTGTGTGAAAATTTTGTTCTGACTGATAATTTCTTTTGCTGCAACCTGTCAGAAACACCCAATTGAGATGCAAATAATAGCAATTCAAACATAAGACCAAGTAAGACATACTGTGTCCCCTTGGTGGACTAGTGGTTAGCGTGCTCGCCACTGAACCCAAGGTTTGCAGGTTCAATCCTAGCCGAGGTCGATGGATTTTTAAGGGTGATAAAAATCGGCATCACAAGACAGCTCAATAATAGAGTGAACATATTGCAGAAAATGGATCACATTTTATATTCTTAATGGCTCTGTATGTTGCAGGACACGAAAGAATGAGCTGAACGGTGAAGTATTTGAAATGCTGTTTACATTCTCAGATTTCATAGCTTTCAAAGAAATGTTCCTGGATTATAAAGCTGTAAGTTACTATGCATGTTGTTCTAATGTGATTAGCAGCAGAATTGATAAATGAAGGAAAATGAAATACCATACAGAAATTGGCAACATACGCGATTGAAATTCCATCTACAAGACTATGTTGCATCGCAGTTCAGAAGATTACAGTTAACCTCTTCACCGACATGAGAACCTCAGATATTTGCTCTGCTGAAGCATTGAGTGATTTTACCATTCTGTTAACTGTTTGAACTTTTTTTCAGATGAAAGATGGACGAGTGGAAGACTTGAGTAAAGGCATATGTATTACTTCTGGCATTTTACATTAGGAAAAGAAAGATCCTTCTACAGAAGGAATGGATTTGGCAAGTACGTTCTTGAAATATATTTTATTACTCTGTGTTGATGGAACGCAGATACGATTCACATCAGTGTTTATGAATTAAAAGGAAAGTACTAAATATACGTGTTAATGAAAACAGCAGAGAAGCAACACTTAAAATGAAGAGTTTGGCATAAACATTTTAATGTGCATGCAGTGCAACATATCCAGCAGAATCATGGAGGACAAGAGGTTATTGTTTCTAAACAATTTTAGTGTATCCCTATTCAATATTTGCATGGGGAACAAAATGTTACATCTTAGATCAAGGAAAAACTAAAATGGAGTGATTTGAAACTAGAACACAAAATGGATATTTTATACTGCAATATCACAAACTAAACTGTAGTATCAAAATATATGTAATTATTGCACAATTACGTTACTGAAATGAAAGCTTATACGGAATAACTACAATATAGTGACAGCGGCACCTATTTCATATTCTTCCATTTCTATGACAGCATTCTGCATTTATCTTGAGCATTCATAAGTGCTCTGTATAACATTTGTTTCTTAAAGATGGTGAAACCAGTTAATTTCATGTTAGTATTAGTGCTGGTGGATGAACTTTTTTTAATATATATATATATATAAATAACTATAATGATCTGCTATATTTATAGGTTAATATACAGAATCTCAAATGCTGTGGAAACTTCACTTGCATATTGTGTCGCCCAATATGGTAAATCCCTAAACACTGGTCTTATTGCACCAAGGCCAAACACATCAGGTACACACACAAAAATAAAACTGGTTGACTGCAACCAGATTATTGCCAACTGATTTTTGTGGAAATTTATACTCAAAGCAGTCAGATTCTCGTAATGAATTAGAGACACTCTTTGTTTGTAAGGTGACATATTTTGAGGGATGTGGAACTGCATTCCAGTAGCTGCTCTTATGTTCCATGATTTTACATTTCTTCATTACTACTGTGTAGGAAATAGTGTATTTATTTATGCATAAGAAGATAGACTATATGCATAAAATGGCAGGATAATGGATTGTAAAAGACACTGAAGGATGTGGACATGGCCTTATTTAATATTCTGTCCTGGCATTTGCTTGGAGGGACTGAGTTAAACCACAAAAACCTTCAGTCAGGATAACTGGCCTCTAGGTCAAAATTTGAACCTGGGACCCCACAAAAATGATGCAGAAATGCTAACAACTTGTCATGATGTTAAGTCTCAAATGGTCATCTACAAAAGAAAATAAACTGTAAAACTGAAATTTGTTAAGTCTCTCATGAATTATAATTGAGTATGTCGTCACATTGACAGTAGATTAAAACTTATGCACATAGAATGTATTAAAAATGTGTATTGCAAAAACTTTTTATTACCTTAAAAAAAGGACAATGCACCAACTTCATTGGAATCACACGCATGCCAAAGTTTCCTAATGCATGAGAATTTCCATCTGAACGAGCCTGCTATTGGTATCTCCAGGCATGCGATAGGGAACAGTGCCTGCAAAACTTGTGATTGCACGGGCTTTTTCACGGAAATATGCCAGTTGCTGGAACAGAAAATAATTGTAATGAACAAGCAATCAATTTCTTGTAACGTGTTACAAGTATTGATGTAGTAACACAGATTCTTTGAAAACGGTATCAAGAAAATGAGCAAAATATAAGTTAATTTTTGTGGGATGGGACAAGGGTGGCACTGTACCAGCACACAATTATATATTCTTCTATGCAACTGGGAATGCTGATCATCACACAGGGCCAGGGGTTTTCATACATATGTGTATCAAATTAGTTGTTAAGAGGGTAGAGTTTATTAGTGTTACGATATCAACTGCATATGAATAAATTCAATTATCTTTAATGTAAAATATACATACTTTATCTTCTAACCTTCCAGTGCCAGAAGTGTTTGCATCTCCTCCCCTGAAAGAATGAAAAACATTTTAGTGTAAAAGAAAACACCAACAGATAGGTGTGTATATATATATATATATATCTGAAACATTTAAAAAGTAATCCATACACTTTTGTGATGTGGTACTAAAGTACTAGGGCAACTTTACTTACTTTAACTGCACAGAGGCAGAAGCTATTTTTATTTGTATTTCATTAAATATTCACCATATCAAAAATGTTTAGTCAAAAGTTATACAGCTAGATAAAATATATATATTATGCTATATACCAATTCTTTTGTATGATGAATCATTTTTGAGGGGGTGAAAAGGTTACATGAACTAGAATGGACTGTCTGTGTTACATCAGAATCATGAAAGAAGTAACATCTGCTTCACTGACCTTGTCTTATTATACTGGATATAAAGCAAATTCATTGTTGCAAGCAGCACATCTGGGATGTTGCGACATATCTCTTCTCCAAGACGCTTGAAACTGTTCACTCGTTCCTCAACTTCCATTAGAGTCATGGGAATTAGTTTCATTTTCGAAATTGTCTAAAACAGAAAATGCTGAATAAATATGCTACTGGGAAACCTTTCATAGTATATAAAAATGTGTAAGAAACCTGAAATTAAACTGGTACAGACTGGACCAAAACCCATCACAGGATTCAAACTGTTAGTCAAAATTTGTGTATCAGTAAGTTGATACTTATATTCAAATCAAAATAAAGCAATATTTAATACATTTTTAACTGTCAGTTTGTATAGGGTGTACCATTTATAAACACAACAATAATCACATACTACGATGCAAAACCGAAATAAACAGTAGGTTCACCCCCCTTTAACACTGTCTCAACTTATGATAAATGAGTCAAGATAACCCTGGTTGCTAGGCCACAGCTTGTGACAGTTGCACAAAAGATAATCTACTGTTCATGAATTGGACTAATATGAAAGACCATTCCACCATTTGATGAGTTATAAGGAATTTACCTCAAGAGCTTGGTGGTATTCTTGAGCATGATACTGATCAAAGAAAATAAGGAGATCCCGTAACAAAAAGAATGTTGACGCTATGTCTGGAGAACTATTAATCTGCTGTCCCCTGTATCGGCTCGTAATGTTGTCTGCCAGCTCCTGCAGACGTGAACGCAGGGACCCAGGACGATTAACTTGATGTACCACCTGGCTCAACATTGAAGTCATCAAACCCAGAACTTTTTCATGATTCTGAAATAAACACATCACTGTTTATCTCTACCTTACAACTAATAACAAACCTAAAATTAGTTGTATTTGCATTAATTTAAAATTATTACACAAAACAAGAAGGTAAAATCATTTGATATATAGCTTCAATAATGGATTACTTTCAATAGAATGTTGGTATACAGTGAAGTCCTGTCAGTACTACTGTTTATTTGGACTTTATCCATCCTTCATTATTCTAAAACAAAAACTCTGATCCAGGACCTGACAGAATAGGCATTTACACCTAAAGACAACCAGCTCCCAAAACAGTGGCTCTGTTTTAGAATACTGAGTGATAGATCACATACAGAGAAACAGCAATACTAAATGTAATGTACCACTGTTAAAACCATTTAGAATTACAGTGAACTCCTGGCATAGTTTTCTTCTGAAGCACAAAACACGGTTTCATTATGCCACTAAACTGTTTAACAAAGGCATACTTACACCTGCTAGATCATATAACTTAATGGCATCTTCAAACATCCCTTTTCTTTCAGAATCCATGGCAACCTGTCCAATAATAAGCTTTGTATCAGCCTGAAAAAGAGAAATTTTGTTAATTAAATTATTTTTATGAATATTATCATAAATAACTAATTATCTGTAAACAGAACCCAGAGGTTCAACAGTGCTTGCTTTTGGACAAAATCTAAGCCAGTTCTGTCTCACATCCAATACAACCAGTCTCCTTAAGAATCATCTCATCACCTTCTTGGTCTTTCTAGTGGATATTTCCAGAACGATTTCCCCATAAAAATTCTGAATTCATTCCTCATCACCCCGTCCAAGTTACATGCCCAGCCTATTGCAGCCTCTTAGAGATATGACCTGTATAAATTATGAAATTCCTTGTTATGTAACACCCTAAAGTACTCACATACACCATAATTTCTTTAGGTCAAATATTTTTATAGGCACTTTTAAAATAATTGTAATTTATGTTATTTTGTCAAAGTAAGAGACTGTTTTACACCCAGAAAAACAAATAGCAAAATTATTGTTTTGTATACACTAACCTTCAATGCTAACAGATTAAATGATTGAATGTTGTAGTTAAGTGGTTAGATATTTTGCTTCTTATTCAGGAGTTCTTGGCTTAAAATCTTGGCCTGGAAACTGGCTATCCTAACTGAGGATTTTTGTGGTTTTCCTCAGTCCCTCCAGACATGCCAGGATAGTACCTAAAATTAAGTCATGACCACTTCCTTCTACATACTTTCCAGTTCATTACTCACTGTCATCTTCTCATTCAATGCTACGCAATCAAGGTACTTAAAGCGTTGTTAAATAAAACTACAAACAAATTAATTTTCTTGCCCACGACAGCTGAATAAATTAGAACCAACAGCTCAATATCCATTTGAAAGTTATTAGAAAAAATGTTTCAGAAAATCATTTTCAGATTCACACATACCTGCACTCCTTGAAAGGTATCAATAAGACCGGGCAGTCTTAGACCAGTAGATTCCAAGATGCCCAACAGCAAATCAAATTCTCTGGATTCTAGTGCAAGATCACTGACACAGGTCATGAACAAGTTCCCACCTTCAGGGCCCTTCATGTTTCTGCAACCACCACAGGAATGAAGTCACGATAATTATACAAATAAGCATTCAGTACTGGTTAGTCAAGAACACAAAAACAATTACAACTTGTGGAAGATGAAACTTCAACAAGAAGATACAAGAGGTATTAGTACAAGCATCACAACATTCCCCTTGAACTAGCACTAAGGACACACAAGACATCATTTATTTATTTCTTGAGATTCTGACCATCTGATTTTGGGTGTTCCAGGAATCCAATGTTGTAGTTTCCAGATACTGCATTTTCTAGACTTTGGGCATAAATTACATGATTTTTGAAGTACAGTGAAACCTCTATCCATCGTTCCCGGAACTATCGTTTTCCCGGAACTATCGTTTTCCCGGATGCATCGTCCGTTTTGTTTGGTCCCGAATACATCCCATATAAAATAATGTTACATTTTCCCGCTTCTATCGTTCCTCGAACTATCGTTTTATCGCATCGATCGTTCAAAAATCTTAGTCCCGGCCCACAATTTTCCCGCAATGATCGTTTCTGAGAATTTAAAATGCTGGGTGTTGAGATAAATTAATACCGAAAGACGCACAATGTTTTTGGAATAAACAGTAGCGGTAACCTGTTATGTCGCCCAACCAGCACATTCTTTTGGAATGAGGGTCAGCGGTGCAGGGGTGATATTGAGTTCGGCAGTAATAGTATTTCCATTCTTCCTGTTATTGTCCGCAAAGGGGGTTGGAGCGGTGAGGAAGAAGAAGACGACGAATGCGAGCCCGAAGCTTTGCCGAGTTTTGCCGAAGCGCACGCTGCATTGGCGAAAGTGAAGTCGTTCTTTTATGCGCATAGTATTAGTGAACGTGACGAGGAAAACCTTTTGAACGTGGAAAGTGCTCTGTTTGGTCTAAAACGTAAAGTTTCGACAAACCAGTTGTCCATTAAAGACTTTTTTGGTAAAAAGAAGTAACTTTGAAAGAGAAACATTGTTTTTTTTAAAAATTTTAATGCTTTCCCGCATCTATCGTTTTCCCGCATTCATCGTTTTTATTTCACACCCCCGCCGAAAACGATGCATCGAGGTTTCACTGTAGTAGCAAAAATAATTAATTTCACTCTTTCGTCTACACAGCAATTCAAGCCTCAATGTTATACTAGAAGTCAAAAAGCATAAAATGTACAAAAGAAAAGTTCCTTTCATGAAACTCTGTTCTTCCTCACAAAGAAAAATCACACTCTGGAAATACATGGAAAAAACCTATGAAAATTAATAACAATTAAAACCAACTGTCAAAAATATGTAAAATTTGTGACTGGCTGAAGGGTTATTTTTCTGCTACAAATACATTTCAAGATACCGTACGTAGTTACAATGTTTTTCATGTTAGCCACTCTTCTGACAGAGTGATTGTTATGAGTTAATGTTCCATTTGCAGGAGTTTACAACATTGAATGAGATCAAAAGATGATCATGAATGATACAGATTTTGGAAGTGTCAGGTATGTCCTATTTCAAGGAAAATTACAATAATTGCTAGTCAGGGCATCTGAGATTCAATCAATATACCCATCAAATACAAATCTACTGCCACTAAAACTCTGCTTGATTCTATATGAGTATAAGATAAAGGTTACAAAGTTCTCTAATTACTGTTAGCTGAAATCACCCACCTAAGAAAATAATAGTACTGTAGTGCCTCTTTAGGATCAGTGGCTTCAAACTTGCGAACATATAGCATGATGAGCCGAGCCAAGTTCAGTCTTCGAGCTGGAGGTTCATCACCAGGATCAACAGACACTACAGCAATTCAAGAGGCAATGAAATAGACGTATCACAGTATGGACCCTAAATCTGTATTCAAAATTAATTAAAATTAAGAATAGCTAATTAAAAAACTTAAGTAATACTGCTCATGAAAAGTATTTTATACAGACAGAAAGTGTTGATAATGGTCAAAACTGTCTATTTTTAATATGAAGTAACAAAAAAGTATTTTAGAGGCAACTGTACTGATGGTACAGTAAGTGAAGTATCTAGCTATTATTTCTCTGTGGATACAATATATCTGAACACTTAACTAAGGTAAAGTGGACTGGGACGAAAGAAACTGCATAAATTTTACTGAGGAATTAAAACCCTCGGTTAAACCAGAATCATACTGTACATGTCCACTATCTGCGAAATGACACACACATTGCTTCTGCATTTGTTGCCATTATCACATTCAAATAACTGGTTGTTGTAATAATACTGACAGGCATGTGTTATAATTTTTATTTTCGAAAAAAGAATTTGAAATAAATTATTGAGCTGTGCATTCAAATTGTCACTGCAGAAAATCTTCACTAGGTTACATCAAACATGAGTAAAAGGGTAAATGAACACAGTGAACATTCCCAACACATGACTTTTTGATCAACCTGTATTATACAGATGCATTATAATATTTTTAATTGTGTATTCATCACTGGCCATGATGTTCCTTTATTTAAAATAGAGATCCATTGTTGCAAATCTATTCGCAATGCAAACTCGACACTGCACTGAGTCAGAAATTGTTCTTGCCTTATTCTGTTAAATATTCAGGTGAAAAAACTTTTCAAATAACAGCTGTACATCTTAATAAGATTTACATCTTATGCCATGTACCCATTTCTCATGCAATGAGTCATTTTCATCTTATGTACTACAGCACGAGTTATGTTGGTCTTAATTCCAAAATCCATTCAGTAGTTTTGGAGACAGTCAGACACTACTTCCCAAATGTGTGTACATTTCATGTATTCTGTGTCAAGAATATACATCTAAAGAATAACGACAATAAAGATCTGATAATCAAAGAACAATCTCTTCAGTCAACTACAAAACATGTACCCTTATGCTAACATATATTATGTACATCTTCAGAGAATAAATTGTCTTAAACCACTGCCAATAGTTTGACAGTCTCTGATCTTTGCCATGTAGATTCATGGTCAAAATTAGGCACCTTGGAAAAAATAAGGTTAAATGAAGATTCCACTGTATTAATACCACCCCAAGAGAAGGAAAATTTAAAGTAGAGTTTTCCTTGGTAATTATTAAGCACCACACCATGAAGACATATGGGGAGTGGTGGTATAGCTCCACTCATTCTTGACCTCAGCACTATATGGAGGTAGTGGTCAGCTTTTGTCCACTTTATGTATGGAAAAACAGTTCCCTTTACCAATTAGATAGGATGCTGGGTGGACACCAGAGCAGGTCTGGATGCAGTAGCTAGGAGAAAAATCTCTTGCCCATGCCACAAATTGAGCCAGGCATCCAGCCCATAATCTGGTCACTATACTAAGCTACCCTAGTACCCTGAGAATAGAAATATTTTGTTATTAAGTATCAATTTAGTAACTGTATGTATGAGATTAATCTCCTTGGAGGATTTCCATATACTTACATAAAGGAGCCTGAACATTCGCTGGAATACCTAGCAAATGATGTTCATTGAGTGCTATAGCAATGTGCACAGCATGAACCCGCAGTTTCTCGATACGAGCCAGAAATTCAATTGCTGCTTCAAACTGACCAGTAAGAATCAGAACTTGAAAGTATACATGTGGTTGCTCATGTGCATTGTAGTGACTTTCACCTAAATGTTAAATTAAAGAAAACAACTATTAGAAATATGTAAGATTAATCAATAACTCAGACATATCCTGCATTCATTAATATGTCTGAAACAGCATATAGAATACGTCTTCCTTAACTGGTCCAAATTTTCTTGAGTAATTAGTAAGAACCCTGCTCCACTCAGTTAGTTACTATAACAGTAAAAATAATATGACAATATTTCCTTATCAAATAATAAAGACATATACATATATGCATAAAACAAAGCACAACAGAACCCACAAAAATATGCCAAGGAAGAGTCTTTATTGAGATGGTGACAATCACTCAGATGGCCAAGAAATTTTCTGCCTTTTAAGAAACCAAAAGTTTCATTATCAAGTTCACCATGGCCTATGACTGAACATTCCTAGGCAGCCAAATCCAGCCACCACACTTTCAATCTCCAATTCTTTTACACAAGTATTTAACACTTTCATTGTTGGTGAAGAAAAACAGTTCACAGGCTGTCAGCCAGTATTCATATGAACGTACGAATTAGGCATCAAAGCAATATTTTACCCAGATATATGATAATAAAGTGTTTTTCACTGTAAGATCTGAGATTCTCATGGCAGTGAACATGTCAGCATTGGTGTTCTGAATTGTAATGTCGTGTGGACTTGTAGGCAGATATCATCTCCATCTTCAGGACTTACGATGGAAGCAGAATATTTATCAAAAACACTGGTATCTACCTACAACTCCACGTGGTGTTGCAACCCAGAGGACCGACAATGACAGTGTCTTTTATATTCATAACTCTCTCTTAAAGTTCTCCCATTTGTTGTACAGTTCCTCAACACAAAAAACTGATGTTACAGCACTATGTCAGAACATCCACAACGCATAGCAGAACTACTTATCCATAATATTAAGAAAGTTATCCTTATTGTGATACCTACCATATTCTTCAAGTATTAAAGACTGTAAGTGAGTATAAGTCATTCTGTCTGTAACCTGACTTTCTGTGCTTTCTTCTTCACGAATCTGACAAAGTTTCAACCATAAATAATCATCTGCAGCCTTGGCTACTTCTGAATGTTCATCATTCACATCACATGATCCAATCACACAGTACACAGCTCTGGAATGCACCAGCAAAAACCATGGTTTGATGAAATACTGTCAAAATTTTTTAGATTACAGGAAGCAAGCTAAACTGCATTGGTTGTAGAATTCAAGTTAAATAAATAGAGGCAAAATGATAATACATGAAAACTAATGGATCTTCCATGAACAGAAAAAAGATATCTGAAAGACAAAATGAATGAGCTTGAAACAAAACAGCAAGAACAAAAATATTGGAGATTTGCACAAAAGCATAAATGAATTTAAGAGTTACAATCCTATAAGAACTTCATAAATGATGAAAATGTGTATCTGCTTGTAGATTCCCTCAGAATTCTTAACAGGGGGAAATATTACTTTTGTCAGCTACTAAATGTTCTTGGGGATCCTCAGAGCTGATTTCTCCTTGTAAGACTTACCTCTTAAAAGGATCTGTGGTATTTCTAATATGTCGACGATACTGGAACTTTATCAAAGTCTCTAATCGAGAACTCAGTTTTCTGTCTTTGCTGTTAATAACCTCTTCCAATACTGAACAGAACTCATCCATCCCTGATCTGTAAATAAAAATGAGATATTATTCAAAGACCTAGTAATTAACTCTCTCCACTCAGTATTGCTGTTTCTGTAGCTTCATTCATCATTCAGTATACTAAGAATAAAGTCATTATGTTTTAGCTCTGCTCCCACCTTCAATGACTACTCTGCTGGGTCAGACAGAAGAGGCTCTTTGCAAATCCAGGGATTTCCATGAAAAACATGGTATATGAATGCAAAGAAAACAAAAGAGAGAAACTACAATCATCAAATTTTTGAAGCCACATGACACACGAATCTTGAATTTCAAATACCCATAGCTCCTAACCACCTGAGAATAAGATATTTCCAACTGTTAATGACCTCAGGAATATGATCCTGAAGTACTGACATGACCCAATTTTGAATACATAAACATAATAAACTTTCTAAGGCTTACTAAGTGATGTATGTTTCAATGTTCCTACGAAATAAAATTTAGAAGAATAAAAATGTCTACAGCCTTACCCAGCCTGTCTGGCACAATACAAGGCTGCTGCTATGTCACCGCAACGAAGACAATAATAAACCAGTGGCCAAAATGGTTGATCTTCCACAGTGCCATCTTCTAGACCTGTCATGCCTGGTGGAATTCGAACTGCTACAAAACTACGAACCAATGGAAATGTTCCAGGTACACCACCTCGGCGGGCTTGCTGGAGGTTCCCCATCACAACACTAGTCATATATGTCCTGTATCTGGAACATACATCACCCAGATAATACCAAACACCCAAGTGAAAAATATAAACTTAAAAGTAGAGTCCCAGTAAAACCATAAACAGCAAAACATAGCTAAACAGATTAGAAAGAATAACATGAAGTTATAACCAACAGCACATAAATTACTAAGACAGACACCTAAGAAAAATGCAAGATAAACAAAAATTATATGCAAAGTTGAAAAACTATATAGATAGTCATTTAGTCTAAAGGATATACTACTAAAGCATACAGTATGAAAAGTGTTCAACATAAAAAAACGTTTTAAGACATTATAACTGAGGGCGACTTTGACCAGTGGTCCTGATCTCTAGTGGTAAGGAAAGTAACTATCTAAGCTTCAAGATGTCACTGAAATGAACATGACAATAACTGAATAAAATGTCATCACGAGCGTATACTAGGGAAATTATCGCAAAATGCAACACAGAAGATGACAGCTACACATAAAACAATGAAGTCTTACTAGAAGAGTGGAAGATGTTGGCTATGGTGTAACATCCCAAAGACAGTCATCTTTGATACCAGCACTGGTTATACAAGGTCTTAGTTGGGGCCATGAAAAATACACACTACATACAGGTAAATACTAATTTCATGGAGCAGAATCATTCTTGATAAGCTGACAATCCATTATCTGGCCAATAACTTTCCTGCTTTTTACGGAAAAGTAAGTATTATAATTACATTTCATAATATACATCACCCATGAAAAATAAATCAACACATTAAGAAAATCATAAATATTTCAACTTGGCAGCATAATTGAACAGGAGGTGACAAATTAACATAAACCACTACTAGTAAGAAACTGTGGCTGGACAAACCTGTCTTCCAGATATTTCCTGGCTTGAAAGATGAGGACATTTCTGATCTGTGACTGCATCCGGGAAGCTAAAGGATCACCTGTTGCTCTCGGGGGAACTTCTGACATATAGGAGACCATTTCCCATAACTCACTCACTTTCTGTAACAGACATGAATTACAAGTTGTTATATACAGCAACATACTTCTGACACTATACAACTGTTGCAGTTAAACAGCTTCACTCATTAAATTGAAACAACAAGAACTTACTTAAACCAACAAAAATAAAATTAGTGACAAAATCTTATTTATCACTTTTAGTCTCATACCAACCAAACAATAATCAATCAAAATTCATATAAATATAATATGAAAACTTCCACATCAGAAATTGAAATAATGGAAATATATTAAAGAAATAATCAAGGATTAAAAATAGAAACAGATGGAAAAGAAATAGAATAAGTATCTAATTTTACCTGCTTATAAAATATGACTTTGGGACTGAGAAGAGATACTGACATACATTTACAAAGATACAGCAAAATAGATGCCATAACAAAAAGAACTTTTGGCATATTATATCAAGAGCAACACTTACTTAAGATAGTGAAATTTGAATTTTAAACAAAAAGGAATTCCAGAAATTAAGAGGTAGCTTCTCTAGTTCAAACTGTGCAGCTGGCAAGTCGATAGGAAAGGGTGAATGTTGCCCCCAGGTCTGGAAGAGGTTGAGAACCCTTGCCTTAGCATTAGATGGACACAGTGGCAAAAAGAAAAATCCCTACTTGGAAATGAATCCTGGTCATCCAGTACAGCTTGCATACAACCAACACAGTTCACAGACAACTCAAGGTTATATACCCAATATATTTTGCATCAGAAATAACCGATGTTGTATCAATTCTTGTACTTAGTGAGAAAAGTAAGTTGATAGTATGGGTTGAGTGACTGCATTCAGTCACCCTGTACTTTGTAAAATAAATTGATCTGTCAAAAATAGGATTGAGGTTCTCATGGCAGATCAGTACAAAGATGGCTGTCTTATGGGTTGTAGTACCATGTAGTCTGGTAGTATTTGTAAGGTTAACAAATTAAAAAATGAATCCTGTTTTCTTCCCACAATAATCTTCAACTCCTTAATGACCAAAAATCTCTAATTCTTAACTTTAGATGGCTGGCCTTTAGAGTTAACATATTGATAACTTCTAATTTTCAAGCATGAGGCCAAAAGTCTACATGCAAAGCAACAGATGACACATTCAGTTAATACTGTACCTTATCATTCAAGCTCTCTGCAACTTGAGAAAACTTATCTACTAGAGAAGGCCGAATGATTCCTTGAACCACAACCTTATTGTAGTCTATCACTTGTTTTGCGTATGCCATTTCCTGGTTATCCAGCAGACTTCGAAGTCCACTCTTTGGGGTGTCGCTGATAATCGAGGGCTAAAATCACAATTTCAACATTATTATGTGTTCTTTACATAATATGCATAAATGAAATGTATACAGGGGAGATTGAGTCCATCTACATGTTTCAACTCAAGAACAATGTAATGGATTATGAATAGATAAAAAATTAATAATGGATGATGAAATATGATATCAGAGGTCTTATAAAAAGTTGTAAGATTATTTCAATTTCTGCCCTAGCATAACATATCTATTCAAAGATACCTTTAAATGTAAGATGGTGAACAAGAACTGCAAAAAAAAAAAATCATAACATGAGAAAGTATGTCTTCTGAGAAAACTGTTACTGAGATTCTAATACATACTAAAATGTACCTGCACTTAGGCACCGCTGAAATAAATTGGTTGTGTGGTGAAATGGTTTGAAATGGCTCTTTTTATAGTGATATTCACCCTCTGAATTATTAATTATATAGATAAATTATTTATTTTTAACCTCTGGTTGGAGAGAAAGGTTGAGAAACTCTTCGGAAGTTCCAGCAAGAGCATTGAGTGCCTTCTGTTTTTCCTGTTTCCATTCACTTTCAATGTGTTCCCATTGCAGTTTCTCTGTATCATCAAAACACTGAAACAGTACAAACATCCATATGCAGGTAAGATATTATTAATTAATTTAAAAATAATTCAGCTCCAATGGTTATTAAACACCTGCCACACACAGCAAACAAGCAAACCAACTATATGCAACAGAAGCTAGTAAAATTTCCCATCTTTTATGGAATCTGAGGGGTTCATTATCTTATTCATAGGACAGAAAGTGTAGAGATAAAACTCCACTCACTCTATACTTTGTAACTAGATGCAGGTGAGCAACCAGATTCACATTCTGATTGGTTTAATCGTGGGCTCATAATAGCCACTGGAGATGAGGCTAAGTGGGACCCAGAATCAGTCTGGACATCGTTAAAAAATCCCCACTCCTACCAAGAACTGATTTCAGGCCATACTCCTAGTAGTCAATCACTACTGACTGGCTTGCACTGGGTGTATAGATGCATGGACCAACTAAAAATAACAACAATATATTGTACCTCGTCCTTTCCGAAAGACAGTAAGGCATGGATACTTACACTTCTGTGAGTCTCCTCAATAATTGACAAGATAGCATTTTCCTTTTCATTTTTTAAGAAACTTTGAATATCTGTATCAGGAATTGGCTCAAGAGGTTCAAATGTTTTCCGAGCACTCAAGACCTCAAGCTTTTGTGACAGCTGTGGTAGATCTACTCCTTTTGAGCCCAAAAGTAAATGTCTGGAATTGGAAGAACAAAGACTACTTTTACATTTCTCAGGAATACAAATACAGGTTATGTAGCATCATATTATGAATGATGAACTGTAGACAGAAGTCATGATCTTTTTCTAATTTAAGGTACTTCTAAACTATTTTGCTGAAAGGACTAAGCAAACTCAGGAAAACCTTGGTCAGAACAACTGGTCTCTTGCCTCAGATTCAAACACGGGACCTCCTAATTATGAAGCAGGACAGCCAGCCACAATAATAATATTTGGTAAAAAAGACTAGTAAATGGTAAAACGGTCTCTGTAATTAACTAAGCACAACACTGGAAGATGAGAAGACAACTGTTCCTTGCTTACAATGGAACAAAAAATAAATAAATAAAATGGCAGAAGCCATTCAAAGTAATCCTCCAATACAGAGCCTCCATTTTATAGTACACACACACACACCTAGTACACATTGCATAAAGAAAATTACAACAACAGGCAACACATATAAAGAGCAGCAGATCAGCTGTGAAAAATTCAACACTAAATTGTGGATAAGGGTTCCTAAAATTAAAAAAATAACTGTAATTCTGAGACTGCTTTCAAACAAAGAAAGTAATCCCTTCTTTTAAGGTTAAGACATGATCAGATAGATTCACTTAAATCATGATCATGATGAGCTTTCTTTGCTTCTGTCTAGCCTCTGACAGTAAATACATACGCTTGAATATCCTGTGCCCCAGTTTGTGTCACTCTTGACCATAATTCAGTGGATGCTTCTAAAACTTGGCGTAATGTTCTTTCAACTTTTGGTAGATCACCACTCCCTTCCACTTCAGCTGACAACTGCTCAGCTGCATGAAGTAACTCAGTGAAATCTGATTCTGCCATGATACTGAAATTAATACAAAGAAATATGCAACTGTATTAAATTCTTGTTTCCATTGCTTCCAGAGCAAAGCTTCAGCTCAAAGGATTTACTTGGAGGCAAACAACTTCTAGATTTATAATTTAAATACTATAAATCAGTTGGCATTCATAATTAAATCCATCATAAAATATCTGACAGAACCCCTGACAACTTCCTATGGAAATCTAATAGTTCAACAGAACACAGTTATGGTATCACTGTTCTAACATATTATAAACATAATGGTACCTTTTGTACCTAGTATATATGAATTTAACTGTAGTATTACGTGAGATGCTGTGTTCCTTTCTTAGTAATCCTGTCTGATTCAGTAATACAGAGTTTACCACTTAAAATTCAACCCAACAACAATCACATAGAGCACACAAATGAAGTTACACGGAGGTCCACCCCCATACAACAGACAGTCACACTGTTCACTGCCTCTGTGATTTTGTGGCTACAAGTTTTCCATTCCTTATTTCTCATTTTCTATTTCAGAAATTATATGCTTCCGTTTCTCAATTCTGCTGAATTCCAATCCTTGTTCTGCTTATTTGCGCTCTAAAATAAACTAAAAGACGAAACCACATACCTAATTAGCGGAGTCAAATACACTAATTACCGGAAGAATTATATATGTAATTCATATAAAACTGCCGCCAGCTTTCAACTTCCTTCTACATACTCACGCGACTACAGAACGTGCTTACGCGCGCACACACACACACACACACAGCTGATTTGTTCAGATGAGTGATGATCGACTGGTGATATCTTGTGTGCTTTGCATGTAATTCTCTGCGTTCGGATGATGTAATGAATGTTTTACTGTGCCTACGAGATAAAGTTCATATTTGTAGGATCCATGCTTCTATCGCAACATCGAAAACCCAAAAGACAGTCTTATCGATACCAAGGTATGCACTTTCTTTTCACGGGAATTTCTAATTGATTATTTGTTTGGGATTTAGATTTATTTTTATTGGTTACTTTTTAATGTACGAGTATGAAATGTTGATAAACTCCTATCACACTACACGGTGTTACAATCCTGAAGACAGCCGTCTTCAGAATTTCTTATAATACACTAGTCTTTACTTTCGGCTTCGATGGACTCTCTCTTTATTTTTCTGGATCTCCTTCAGACTTTGAATTTGTGAAGTCATAATTTAATTTTTACAATGTATGTAAATCCGCAGCTGTTCTTTGAATACGTATAGGCACTACATGGCTTCACTCACAACACAGAGTTGTCTGAACTTGTCTTGTGGATCGCCGTGTGGACGTGCAGGGACATACAAACGTTTCCTAAGAGCGAACTGCTTCCATATTCAGGTTGAAGTGAAGCATACTTTATATAATAATTAGCTGGGGTCTTGGCGACATCTCTCATGACTTGAATGTTTTTCAAGAACGTAACTTCATTTCACGGAGTGAAGATAGGTATTCTATGATAATTATATTCGGAATTCATCTTGTGCTGTTCCCTTATTTCAGTTACAAAACCCTGAACGTGCGTTCAGAAACGTTTATGTATTTTCTCTGAATGTGTTTGTTAAAGTTATTAATAGAATTAATAATATTCTTTGATATACACATATTGAATTACAGATGTTATTGAAGTAAGATACAAAAGTTGTCATGCTCTGCTTTCAGCAGCACCATGCACATGTTATTAGGAACCGAGTTGAAGTAGTCGCAGCCTTCTGAAAGGCATGACACAACTGCGTTTTGGCTGTAGTTGTTACGTTGGCGAAAATAATAAGGCTGGCTGTTGTTGTTACACATAGGAAACAATGGACATGTATTAAAATTTAGTGTTTGATGTTGTCACATAATCTTAAATGTGTTAATTTCAAAGTTGGCCTATTTGCGTAAAGATGATTAAGTCAGCGTGGAAATTTTTATGCTACTGGTACTTTCGGTACTTAATGGTAACAGAACTCTACATGGTAGAAAGATGGGAACGTGGAGTGGTCAGTATCCTTGCAATATATCGGGTTAAGTCATAGTTTTTAAATTGATATGTTTAATTACGTAGTTAATAGTTTAGTTTCAAGAAAAGTGCATCTTTTGCAGTAAAGATTAGGGATGGAATATCATTTGATGCGTGGTTGAGTTATTCGGTTTTTATAAAGTTTGTACATGGACTGGCACAATAGGAGTAGCTAATAGTATTTTGGTATACATAAAATACACGGTTGCAAAATTATTCACACAAAAGACTTGGTCCTTTGATAAATAATGTGTGCAGCCAGGGAATGGTGTTAGAGAAATGAACATTATCCTTTTCATTATGAATGTCTTTCATAAATGACAAAGATGATTTTGTTTCTGTGGACCTGAGGCTGAACCCCCAGATGATACTTGAGTGATTGTGGAACAGTAATGGAATGAAATTGGCAGGGGAAGACTGAAAATCAGAAAAGAAAACCTGTCCCGGTGCCACTTTGTATACCACATCCCACATGGTCTACTTGCCCTAGGTGTGAACCAAGGCCTGTGTAGTGTGAAGCGAGTTAGTGACTGCCTGAGCTATGGCTGTGGCATGGTTAAACAGTTTCTTCATTAATACAGTTACGTTTGCATCAGTGATCCCCTAAGTTTGGAAGTTGGTGATCTTGGAAATTATTTCTCTCTCTGCATTTAGGCCTATATGTGATTCATCTTGTGAAGGGAACCAATTATCATGATGAAAGGCTTACATGGATTTCCAAATAAACTTTTTTATCTTTCTTATGTAGAAATTCCTTTGTGATGAATTAATAATTATTTTTGCCTACTTTTTTAACAGGGTAATGTGGCCACGGTGGGAAATGACTGTGTTAAAATCTAGGTTGGGATGGGAGAACAAATACAAGATTAAAACATTAAAAAATCATACAAAAACATGTGTAAAGATTAAGTTATAACAGTTCAGCAGTTACCTTCATCAAATGTTAACTTTGCTTTGCCTGATGATGATGATGCCATTTTTATGCTGGAAATCTGATTAACACATTATTTTTTAAAATCATTATATAACTTTTAGATGCACCAGCCTTGGGATTCACCCACCTTCCTATTCAGTGGACTTTAGTAGCTCTTTCCACAGTCTGGAGCCTGAAACCTTATGAAGTACAAAGGTCTACAAAGTGTGGGGCTTTATCTTCACACTCCTGTACACCAGCATGTGTGATTGAGTCACAGAGCATGTCAAATCTGTACAGCATTATAAAATGTAAACATTCCTATCTGTGTTGGTTCTATCTTTCGTAGGAGGATTTTGAAGGTGACTTTTAGCATAGTGTTGTGTTGTCAGTTGCTGCATGAAAACATTTGTCATTATGTATCAGATGGTGTATGCATCACACTAGCACATCACGAAATTGTTAACTCAGGAGTTAAAAGTCCCACTGGCAACCCTGAGGTATGGTGTTGAAGGCCTGCATGCCTATTTGATAAGGGTTAAGCATAACTTAAATATTTCCTACAACTTTGGATTAAAAGGTTTATCTTTCCTTAACTCATTTTCATGTGTTGTATTTCTAATTCTGTTCCTTATGCTGGCCTACTTTAATTATGCTGTTATTCTGTATGCAACATCATCAATAATTAGGTATACATTAATATAGCAGATGCCAGGCTCACTACCACAGAACTTTTACCATCATCACACATACTACATACCAGCACAAAAGGAGCAGGAGGACAAGATTATTTCAACTTTGTAACTTTTTCTGGATGAATGAAGATGAATTGTCTGTTTACAATTGTAAGAATGAATTTACATTCCTTATTTTACCATAAACCAAAGAAATTATTAAAACTGTTTGTTGCATTTTTTATGATAATATTCATTCACTTAGTAACTGTATGAGCCGATGAAATATATGTATATCTTACCACATTTATTTTAAAAGACTTGCATTCCACTTTCCATTTGGTGATTAATCCCAAAACTCAAGAATTCTTTATGTATATGAGTTATATCTCTCTTGAAGATAAGTAATACCATCTTTCAGGTGCCACAATCCATCTCCTTTTCATTTTCAATTAAGATTTTGATGCTGACAGCTTTATAACTCAACTTGTTTTGACCCACACTTGTTAATGAAGGACATGGGTGCACAGGGAATGTATCACATGTTGATCTAGATACAAAGAGTTAGCAGTTCTAATAAAATTTTAAATATCAGTGTAGCAGCATATAATAAATAAACTAAACTAAAATATTCTTGCGTGATCAACCATTTCAAAGTTTGGTCACCCAACATTTTAGTACACTCATTTGATATGAAATATTCAAGACATACACAACATATAAAATATATTTATGTACGCTTTCTTCTATACTCTTATGCAAGAGGAAATACTGAGATTGTAAGGAATTACATTAAGCTTAAATAAATGTCCAATATATTTTATTGTCCTGAATGCATTTTAGATTGCAGTTACATCCCCCAAATATCCCAGCACCTAAAACAATGTTTGTCCTATCTATGTTATGGCTTGGAATAATCTTAAAATTGTGATTAAAAATAACAGCTTTTAACAATTTTCATAGATTTTAATTACAACCATAGAGAATATCACCAGTAGTACTGTAGTAATACAACCTCCCCACCACAAATATACACAAATCTTTTTAAAAAAGTTCTTGGGGGGACTATAAAATCAGTATAGTGTATGAGGTGTGTGCACTCATTTACATACTTTCAGTTGAAAGTGATTAAGAAAATGTTCCATTTCTTTACATGAACATGGCAAGGCAATGATGGGGGTGATGGAGACAGTGTATCTTAATACTAACACAAAACAAGAAGCAAGTATATAGACAATGTCTATAATTTAATGGTACAGTGCCAACACCCAAATGTACACTCATCAGCAATATATCGCCATGAGCTTAAAATAAGTTAGTAATGTCAAGAATTGTTAATCACTTGGGGTTCAACCCCTCTATAGAATATCAGCTGTTTATTTACACATTAATGTATGTGAATTTTCAGAAAAACATCTGTGTAAATGGACATGACTGTATTCCATTTTACCAAATGAAGATTCCGATTTAGTAAATGCTTAATCCCCACATACCAACAATGGAAGAAATTGTTGAGATGGTACATTCCATACCAACTACTGATGTATGGATATCAGAAAGTATCTGCACTATGCATTATACTGATTCTATGCCAGAACATGCTATGTTTGAAGTCTTGATCACAACCGTTTATGTCTGCCCCCCCAACTTTCCTGTATATTATATTTCAACATCAATCAGTACCAGATACATTTAGAAAATGGGCCATTAACTAAACACTGGATATGCACGTAACTGTAAAAGCAGCATTAAAGATCACAGTATGGGCTCAGAGACTGTCATTATTACCATAAAATTAAAATTTGGGTGTCTGCATTGCTGAATTTTCTAATTTGCACTCATTATAGTGTGTTATTATGGTGATGGCATGAACATATTTTACACTGCACACTCAGGACTATTACTGCAATACTATATTATTGTGAATAACCTGAAAGAGCTCAACAATTTGAAAAGCCAAATATGTAGAGAGAATATTACATTTATTCAGATATACCCCAATATATCTGAATGTATATGCACTTGCTGGAACAAACTTATTTATAAGAACAGTGCAGGAACAGGTTGCCTGAAATGGCATCCTACATATAATGAAA